GATACTTTGTGACCAAAATATTTCACCCAAACGTCTCGAGAAATGGCGAAATTTGTGTCAATACACTGAAAAAGGATTGGAAATCCGATTTAGGGATAAAACATATTCTTTTGGTATTAATTGAAATATAATTGATTTGTTTATTTGATAATTAATTGTTTCATTCATACCATCAGACCATCAAATGTCTACTAATTGTTCCGAACCCGGAGTCTGCGCTCAACTCAGAGGCCGGAAAAATGCTATTAGGTATGTGTTGTACGCTATAAATGGATGCAATGATTGTGATGATGAACACGGAGTGACTCTTGCAGAGCATTATGACGATTACTGTAAAAGAGCTCAAATGATGACCGAAATTCACGCCTCAAAGCAGTCGAAGGACTGCTTCGACACCGACACCAACCCCTGTTGCAGTAAATCTGATTCCGTGCGACGATTGGGTGATAACGGGTCGGACGAGACCTCTTCGGGACCTATACTCAAAAGACACGCCAACGACAAGAGTGTCACTAAACCTATTGCAACAACACTAACGCAAAAGAAGTCTAACATTAAAGATAAGAAGCGAACTCTAAAGCGATTGTAGTCTTAAGTCTTAAAATGTTTTTTATTTAAACAAATAATTTGACGAAAAGTTCAAATCTTTTAAATACAATGCAATTTCCGTTCACTTTTATAGACTTTACATTCAAATAACATATTGGAGTTTGAAATAAATTTATCAATAAATCTATGTATGCATTAGCCCTGAATAAGATCCTTTTCATTGGTTTCTGTAATGATTATAACTTTATTTACAGTTTTTTATTCAAAGTATAGGTTTTAAGTGTTTACAAATATTTTCCATATTTATTGTAAAACATTGCTTTAAATTTACACAAATGAATGGTTAATAAATATTTGTATGACTTTTGTTAAAGCAAACTATCAATTTATGGTTTAATGAGTGTTTTTCAATCATTAGTTCTAAACTAAACTTTTTGTACATTTTATTTTCTCTCCTATTCTTGTAATTATGAGTTTAATTCAATAAATTGTCATTTTTTAAATAAAGTCAATATTATAAGCAATGCATTATACCGGTATTAATATAAGTTAATACAGTATTTATTTCTATGCGTGCAATTTTAAATGTCACTAAATCTTGTGTATGTAGTGGTACAGGTATTAATACTGTATTTTCTTTAAATTACCTTATACCTTACCGTATTGTACTATTCACGCCATAATTTTTAAATTGCTTATGCTGTATTTTACCTAGAGTACTGTACTGTAGTCTATCTGCAGTCTAAAATTTAGAGTCTTGCACAATATTTTATAGGTAATTTACTGTAATGACTAAATGTTATACAGTGAGGTGTGTGTGTTGTTTAGAGGGGTTTCCTATAGTGGAGAGAGAAAGAGAGAGAGAGAGAGAGAGAGAGAGACTATTATTATCGGTATTATATAATACTTTACTATTTAGTTAGCAAAGTAATTTTGTGTTTCTTGAACTATGATTGATTGTAAAAATGATCAATTAATTGATTAATTAATTGACTTCTTATGAGACATAGGCTTCACTGTATGACTCAGTGTTTGGATGATCTGTGAATGCAGTGTCTGACAGACAGTGAGCGCAAAACCGGTCACATCTCTACCATTGAGTGAGTGTTTGTTGAACAGAGAGGCAGCGTTTGAGTGATCAGTGAATGTGTGAACGCATGACATGATGGCCAACGAGTCGGAGGGGCCCTCCAAACAGGACTTGTCCACTGTCTTCGCCAAACTCAAGACACACACTTCCAATAAGGTTAGTACTCACCCGTCCATTACTCCACCACCACTTCACTCATCCAATTGTGTCCAATGGTTCCCATTGAAGGCCACGTCATATGTAGTGGCCTTTCAATCGAGTCATTGCCACACAATTGAACACTCTTTGACCCACAGATATGTCCACTGAAGACATATCTGTGGAGTGATTGACACGATTTATATGATAATATGTCATCTTTGATGATATAGACGTGTTTCGATTGCGGGGCGAGAAGTCCATCGTGGGTTAGCATCACATACGGTGTGTTCATTTGCATCGACTGTTCCGCTGTCCACCGCGGCCTCGGAGTCCACATATCGTTTGTGAGGTCCTCCGAGTTGGACACCAAATGGAATTGGTCTCAACTGCGAGCCATGCAGTGCGGCGGCAACGCACCGGCAGTCAGTCATACCTCACCACTCAGTGCACGACACGTGCGACTCATGTGTTCCCCTCTTTTGCCATCACTTGTAGCACCAGTTCTTCGTCGACCACAACTGCACCACAAAAGACTCCCAACAGAAGTACTCGAGTCGAGCGGCGCAGCTCTATAGAGACAAATTGGCGCAAACGGTGGCCAATAGTCTCAAGATGTACGGCCATTGTCTGGAACTGCCCACTCCTGGTCCCACTGCCAGCCCCCCGGTGTCCGCCACCGCTTCGAAGGACTTCTGGTCCGAACACGAGAGCCAGCAATCAGTGCCTAAATCAAGTGTTTCTTCAGCTTATTCTTCGATTAAATCTCAAAAGACTTCATCGGATGAGACGATTGGTCCCAACGTTAGTCTCGTGACCGCCACTAATGAATCCGTCAGAGACTACAAGCCATCGCTAATCGGCTCCAAAAAGCCAATCGTTAAGAAAGGGGTAATTGTTTTGATTTGATTACTGGATCTATATATAGATTTAATTGTTATTGAATGGCAGGACGTCTGCAATTGGAGTCTTTGTAAATGGCTTTAAATTTCTTGAAATTCCTGCAAAATTATCTGAAATAATGTTTGAGAAAAGTTTTTCGACTCAATGAATGCTTTTCATAGAATATTTCGCACAATACTATACAGTAATGATTGAAATGAATGTTTAATTGATTGTCACTTCTTGACAGATGGGCGCCAAGAAAGGGTTGGGCGCACAGAGAGTGCAAACAGATTTCAATAAATTAGAAGAGGACGCCATTAAAGCGGACCAAATGAAGGATCATATTGGAAAGAACGACAACAAACCCGTGACCGAAGAGGAAGCTAAGGATCAGATAGAGTCGATTCGTTTGGCGTACGAAGACTTAAGCGAAAGACAAAAACAGACCGAAGAGAAGATGCGAATCAGTGATCCAAATAAAGCCAATCAATTAGAAAGACTTGGAATGGGTTTCAGTAGCGCGCGAACCAAAAGCAGTGGTGTTTCGCATTCAGCCGTTTCTGATATGCAGACAATAGAACAGATCCCAAATCCCAACACTTCTTCGTCTAGGAATTCGCGCGTAAAAGAGATGGAAAGGGAGCTCATGATGTTGGAGCTCGGCTTCTCATCCGGTCCGCCCAAGTATAAAGACACGCCTTTTGGCAAAAGTGAATACAAGTCAAGGGATGACTACTCCACCGATGACTTCTGGAGTGAATTGGATAAACCGGCTGAGAAAAAGCCCGATATTTTAGATACAATTGAAACCATTGATTTCGAGCACTCGAGGCATGTATTGATTTGATAACATTTCTATCAATTCTTATCTTCAAACGCATTGATCACTTGAGTGTAAATTGTATTGAATGTGAATTTACTTGACATTTAAATTGCATTTACACGAGATATTCAGTGCAATAGTAAAATAAGAGCCAGTTTTCCACTTTTGAATACCTGTTCCCGTGTATTGCTAAATACTAAGGATTGGCTACACTTTTAGTTTTATATGAAAGTTTGAATTTGTTATTTGTTGAACATTTAACTGAATTGTGTCCTAAATTGATATAACGGTAAATAGAAGCCAACAAAGAGTTAAAGAGACGCCAACTGTTTCTGAACCCGTTTCTGGCGATACACAGAAAAAGTTTGGTAATGCAAAAGCCATATCTTCTGATCAGTTCTTTGGTGGCAAAAGAGATCTCGATGTAAGCCATCATTCAATGAACTGTTTGTTTGTCATTGCATTCAATGAATTGTTTTGTTGCTCAACAGTACGAACAGCGAACAAATCTCAATCGTTTTGAAGGCTCTAATAGTATCAGTAGTGATGACTACTTTGGACGAGCGGTGCCCCAAAGCTCGAAGGCATCCTCAATGTCTAACTTCAATGGACCCAATCTGTATGACATCAAAGAAGGTGTTCGCGATGGTGTCACACAAGTGGCCGGAAAGTTGTCTAATTTAGCCACTAATGTCATGTCTTCTCTACAGGTATTACATTATTGTCATTATTTATATACAGTATTCAACATTTGATTCATTTTTATTTGTTTAGGAAAAATATGGCGGTTATTGAAAATGATTTACTATTTTATTTAAGGTATATTTTTATTATTTTTATTACAATTTAAATGTTTTATTAAATATACTTTTATTTCTTTCAGTTCTGGAAATAATTTTTTGTTACAAAAGTATCGGATTTGTTGTAAATATTGGATACAAATGTCATCTTTTCTTAGATAATTGTTTTGTTATTGAAAGCCATTACAGGAATGGAAAGAAATCATTAAAATTTTGATAACTATTTTCGATTCATAAGTGTTTCCCTTATTTTTCATAAATGTTTACATATAATCAAAGGATATTTAAAAATAATTGATCCATTAATAGTGTTATGAAATTGTAAATTATTTTCAAATTTTACAAAATAATAGAATTTTTATTAGTTTTCTTATTAATAAAACTGTTTAAATGATTACAAATATAATCCAGAAGTGTGTCGATTAAAAGCTGAGCGCATAGGGCGAGGGTCTCGACCCGAATGTCACGTTTGGAGAGTTAGTCTTATCGATCCAAACCTTATATCAAAGTAAATAGAAATTATAATTTGGTTACAAATTATTGCTATGATATCAAAAGAATTGCTTATAATTGTGGCACATTATTATGCCATTTATCTAAATTCCGCAATTTTGTTCCAGCTTAAATTTACAGTTATAGTACAATAGACTAATTGAAGGTATTGTATTATAATCATTACAATGTAATGCATTAATAAAATGAAAATAATTATGAGGTGATCACAAAGACGACTCACCTTTTCGATGGCATAGTCTGCGGGTCCAGGTTTGGCTGTTTTGTCTCTGGGAATCTCTGTTTTAGGCCTAAATGTATACATGGGTTGTCTCTGTATTTTATAGGCATCGGGTTCGGGAACGTTGTAAGCGGTCGGTGCCGGAGTCACATCAGCTACCGATTCCTTAGCCTATCAGTTATGATTCAATTCTTAAAATATATACTTTTTACAATTTCATTGAAATCTCCATATACTGTATGAAAATCACTTAAACTTTCTTAAAAACTTATTTAACTTGACAACACACTAATTTTATAAAAACAAATAATACAAATACAAACCTTGAATCCAAATGTATAACTGGGTGCTTGACGTCCTTTAGCGTTATAAATACTTTTTTCTGGTGAATAATGAGTGGGTGCGGGAGTGTTGAAGGGTTCGGGGTCTTTGATTTTTGCGCCAACAAAAGCAGATGGAGTCCAATCTTTACCGATTCGAGTCATGCCTTCCACATCATATTCTCCAGGCCCTGAATCACACCATTTGATTAGTATCTCAAAACCAATAATTTAGGAATCGCTCAAAATTACTTTCAGGAACTTAGTTTATATAAGAATATTCTTATGATATTTTGACATAATAATTGTGTCTAAATTATTTGCGTGTATGAGTACATGACAGGCTGGGATACTAACCACTATACTATAATGAATATGTAATATCTGACTATACTATAAATTAGATACATATTAATCTACTATATTAATCTTATAAGATTTTGTAGGAATAACTTATAAATATCATACAGAATATTCTAATAAATATAAGATATTTCACATATCCATTGATTAATAAATAAAAATAAGTTACAGTATTGAAAAAGGTTAATTAAATATGTGATATATTCTCTAATAAATACGGAGTAAATAATTGAAGTAAACCAATGAATAAACATTGATAACTTTTCAAGTTTGCATTTAAATATACGAATATTTCATAGCAGACAAACCGGGAGTTTTAACATTTCTTTTCTCTTCATATTTGGATCCAAAACTATAGGCCGGAGAAGTGGACTTACGCTGATCTCCCCTATTCGGTCCTGAAATGCATTCATTTATTTATTATTCAA